TTGGCCCTAAGTGATCTAGGAAAAGATTCACTACTCAGTAGATGCAGAAAAACCACATAAAATTATGCAAATCAAGAAGTTCAAATTTGCATGTCCATCTTAGGAATACTCAAGAAACTGCCCAGGCCATGAAGGTGTGCATATCTGAAAAGCCACCAAGCATCCGAAAGGCACCACATTTAAAGAAGCAGTGTGTGAGCTGGCAGGTCTGCCCAGTGGGGTTGGGCATGGGTTCAGTGAACCACAAAGAGTGCTGAATTTCTGTTGCATGGGCTTAAAAATGCAGTGTATAGGGCTGAACGTAAGGGTTTGTATTCATATCCTCTGGTCACTGACTGTACCCACACGAACAAAGCCTGCAAGATAAACTGGCATATAAGCTCCATAAGCCACATCAAGACGATCCTCACTGCAAAAAAACAGAGAGATCTCCCAGAAAAAAAACAAAGAAACAAAGAGTTAAGGCCCAGGGAAAAACACACCATACAATAAATGCAAATTAAAATCTTTCAAATTATGAAATAGTTATAATTATATAAAATCTATCATAATTATAAATTCATAAGCCTATGAGCCAGCCATCATATTTCTAGGCATTTAAACAGCAGAATCCCTTGTTTGACTGCTTAGAGATATCAACTAGAATGTTATTGAATAATTTTTTAATTAGAGCAAGCATTTTTGAAAGCAATAAAATGCCCCCCAACAAGGTACTGCTGAGATACACAAGGTGCTCCACAAAATTCCTGGAAATTTTGCATCATTTTTAATATCCTCTGTCCACAAAGTTTTTGAAGCTTCTTTATATAGAAACACCTACACAACAGACAACCATGCAAACACTAAAAGGATAAGATATGGATACAAAATATTGGAGCATATAATTTCACTTTTATAAATATATTAGCAAATAATTCTATATACTTCAATAAGGAGTGGAATTGGAAATGAAAGAGGCAATACCTTCACCTTTTGAAGTTTCCTGAAACTTGGCGAATTTTTACAGTAACATGTTATTTTATAAATTAAATATTGAGATTCCCTTCATAGTACCTGTGCCAGTCGTTTTCCTTTTTTTTTTTAAGATTGATTCATTTTCATCGGAAAGTTAGATACACAGAGATGAGGAGAGAGAGAGAGGAAGATTTTTCTGCCCGATGATTCACTCCCCAAGTGGCCCCAACAGCTGGAGCTGAGCCAATCTAAAGCCAGGAGCCAGGTGCCTTTTCTAGGTCTCCCACACGGGTGCAGGATCCTAAGGCTTTGGATCTTCCTCTACTGCTTTCCCAGGCCACAAGCAGGGAACTGGATGGGAAGCATGGCCTCCGGGATCAGAACCAGCACCCATGTGGGATCCCAGTGCATGCAAGGAAAGGACTTTAGCCGCTAGGCTATCACACCAGGCCCATGCCAGTCATTTTCTACGACATTAGCTGACAGGTGACCAGTAGACAGTTTCCCAGGAAATTACAAAGAAATGCTCCTTTTTGTCCTTGCTCACTGTACATAATTACTCATGTAATTTGCTCCAAGTTGTGTCTATATCACAACTACACTTGCTGGGTCAATCTTTTGACATGTTGTACCCCAAACTCTAGTACCTGTTTTGACATATAAATGGCTATGTGTAAGCCTGGGTTGATAACTCTGTTTTTTGCCTCCTCCTATTTCTCTTTCTGTATTTCATGGTATTATTTTCAATCTAAAGTCACACACTAAAATCAATCAATGGGTGAGGAGTTGATAACTTTTTCCCCTGCTTAAGCTATAGCAGTTTGAAAATAAAATAATGACAAATGTAAATTTATCTTCTCAATACATGCAATACTACTGACAGACTATACTTCGGAATGAAGTGGGAAAATGATCAAGGGAGGTATGGGATTTTCTCCTATCTAAGGTTTGTTTCTTTATTTGAAAGGCAGAGTTACAAAGAGAGCAGACAGAGTGATTTTTCCATCCACTGGTTTGGCCCCCTACACGGCCACAGTGGCCATGGCTAAGCTAGAACAAAGCCAGAAGCCTGAAACTCCATCCAGGTCTCCCGTATGGCTACACGGGGCTTGGAACCTAGGCAGTCCTCCGCCGCTTTACCACGCGCAGCAACAGGGAGCTGGACTGGAAGTGGAGCAACTGAGACTGGAACCAAGACCCATGTGGGATGGCGGAGTTGCAGACAGTATGGTAACCGAATATGCCACAGTACTGGCCCCCAGGAGGTGACAGTGACTTAAAAACAAAACCTCATCACATGCCTACTCCACAGAAGCCCACAGCAAGCACTCAGGAACAAAGGAAAATGAATGATAAATGCTATTTTCAAGTATACAAAGGTTGAAAACAATAGTAACACATAAATGTATTTTTCAAAAATCAGCAAATATTCAGTTCTAAGATTACTATGGGTTTGATTTGCTTGGAACTGTCCAATAACACTAAAGACAAGCAAGTTTTTTCTAATATTTTATCAAAAGAAAGCTGTTTTTAAAAAGGAAAAACATCTGAAAATGAGGTAAGCTTAGTAAAAATATACATCAATATTCCAGGAAGGTGCACCTCCATCACTCCAACTTCTGCAGAAAGAAAGAAAAGAAAAGAAAGAAAGAAAAGGTATGGCATAAAATTAAGATTTTATTTGTGTGTCTGGTTTCAAAAGTTTTTTTTTAACTTATTTTGAAACTGATTTCCCCAAGAGAGCCACGCGAAGAGTGCACCATATGATACCAACACCTAATTATAGGATGTGGGGCTGGCAGCATGGTGTAGCAGGTTAATTACAGCCTAAAAAAGTTAACTCATCAACAGTCATTAAAAACAGGTGAGAATTTTATTCTATCCCTCAGATCATTTTTTAAAGGCTTTCTTCGGTTGAAGTGGGATAACAGTTTCTTAAGCTTGATGTACAAAAGAAAAAAAAAAGTTTTCTTTTGTTAACACAAAAAGGACAAGGGGCTGAGAAAGAGTTCCAAACAGACCACTGAGAACACAGGCTCACACATGCAGCAAAGCAAGCAGGTGGCAACATCACAATCAAGGCTTCATTGTGAACTTAAAGCACCCTTAGTACTTTACAATATAAAGATGCTAAGAACCACATAGGTTTCATTGGGATTTATACAGTTGATCAGAAAACTGGACCAAAATCACCCCATCTGGAACATATTCTGTGTTTAAGTTTAGGCCTCTGGCTAGTAGGACTATAGATTTCTGAACGTGTCCCAGAGGTTATTGTAAGAAACTTAAGTTTGTTCCAAGTGGACTTTAAGACAAATTGTTACCAGCAATGATTCAAATACACAGGCAGTTCAACAACTTCTTTTATGGTCCTGTAACATTTTGTTCAAAATTTTATTTCATAATAATATACTTTATCTTTACAAATTTCTCCATGTTGAAAGCTTTCCAGTTTAGAAACCATATAATAAGTAGATGTTTACCCTCAGTGTATAAGGGGAGGGGTGGTGGACAGTTTACAAACAGATACTTAGGATGCCGAGAAATATAAAAAAGCAGGTTTCCCCATCTTTCCACACTCTGCATGAGTGGGACGTGAGGCAGAGGGTGAGGGTGCAGGTGTGCCTGCGAGGAAAGACACTGCACGAGGACCAGTTTAGGAAAGCTGTTGCTGCGTTGATATTTTGAACACTCATACATATACACCAAATTCAGTATTTCCACCATTCACTTTCAGATCTCACTCTCAAAGACATAAGGTATCCTCTATTCTCTGCACAGTTGTGATCAGCTTCTGTTCTTGAAAGCTGTTCCTACCACAAAGTGACTGAAAATTTGTTCAAGTCAATAGTCTTTTTTTCTTGCAAAGAATCCATATTTGAACATCTTCGAGAGAGGTTATTTCAACTTGTCATTTTGTGTAGGGAAAAAAAATTACATAAGACATAGTTCACAAAATAATAGACAAAATAGATAGTAAAGTGATGGAAACCTTTAATGTTTTAAGTTAGCTGTTTATCGTGAAGTTTTCTTAAAATGAATGAATTGTTCACAAATCTTTAAAATACACAATAACACAATTAGAGTTTCTCCTAGGTCTCCTTCAAAATAACTCTGTAGGGGCAAGCGTTTGGCAGAGTGGTTACAACACCAGTTACGGCTTCGACAGCCCACGGAGCGGAGCCTGGGTTTGAGACTCAGTTCTGCTGCCGATTTCAGTGCCTTGCTAACAGCACAGCCCTGGGAGGGGCAGATGGTGATGGTTCAGGTGCCTGGGCCTCTGCCGCCCACAGGGAAAAGGCTAGACTGAGTCCACGGCGTCAGCCTGGCGCAGGTCTGATGCTGTAAGCATTTGGGACGTGAGCCAGGAGTGAGCCAGGGATAAGGACTTCTCTCTCTCAAAACAAAAAATTTTAAAATAATTATAATTTCCTGAAAAGCATAAGTACACTGAAGTAAGAACCTGGAGACCTATAATCTTCTCCCACATTCTTCACTCAGTCTGTTACCTGAATGTATAATTTCCAAATCTACAACTGTTCACAAATAAAGGGGTCAAGTGTAATTAGTAATTTTCAAACCAGGCTACTCAAAGCCTTGGGAATTCTATGTGTTTAAGATGAGGAAAGACAGAAGATAATTAAGAATTTGTAATTATTTTTAAAAGAGCTCAAAAGTCACTATCCTGTACGACACATAAGGATTCTTTAATATCTAAAACCCCATTATGCTATTGCTTTATCTTATCAAATATTTTCATCAATCTCACATTTTAAATTGGAAAAATAAAATTACCAAATGTGCATATGTCCTTCTCAAAACTACTAGGACTGACACAGTGGAAGTCATTCAACTCCGACACTAGCAGTCCATGCCAGGAAAGGTTGCCCTGCAGTCCCGTAACTGGCACGGAGCACGGCCTTCAGAAATCAGAGAATTGTTTTATCCTCATGTGAGCTAGTCAATTACACCATTAAATGCAATTTGTACTATCATAATCATTAAAAAAGCATAATTAAGAAACAGAGTCATTATTTTTAAAATACCTGTACTATAAATTGCAACTCTCTTCTTTCTGCTTCCCATTGTTCTGCTTGTAATCTAAAATCCTCCAATGCTGTCTCCCTGATATGAGACTCCATCTCATTCTTCGCCTGCTGATGTTTTTCCAACGCTTCCTTTATGTGGATAAAATCTTGCTTTACTGTTAGGTCAATAAAAGTTGTCTTTCCTCCCTCAAGCTCAGTTTAAATTTACAAGGGGCTCTCCTTTACAGATTGTTGAAACTCATTCTAAATCATGTAAAAATCATTAAGTACAACTATTGTTTAAATCATCAGAATGAAGCTCTGAATAAAAAGCTATGGGTACCTTTTCAACACTTAGACATATATGGAACCCAATTTTGTTGTAAACCTCAACATCAGAGACAAAACTGCAGTAATTTCCAGCTAACATGCAAATAGATAATAAAACTGTTTGGATCATCCTTGATTAATCATATGTAGGTCTGACAAGGAACGATGTATTTCCAAAGGGGAACAAAGAATTTTATGACACAAATCAAGACAAGCAAACTCCAAGATGCTAAAAATTTGAAAAGAAACAAAAGATGTGGGCCCAGTGCAGTAGCCTAGTGGTTAAAAGTCCTCGCTTTGCATGTGCCAGAATCCCACATGAATGCCAGCTTGTATCCCAGCAGCCCCACTTCCCTTTCAGTTCCTTGCTTACGGTCTGCAGTAAAGGATGGCCTGGGGCCTTGAGACCCTGCACCCACATGGGAGACCCAGAAGAAGCTCCTGGCTCCTGGTTTCAGATTGGCTTGGCTCCAGCCACTACAAACATTTGGGGAGTAAGCCAGTGGAGAGAAGACCTTTCTGTCTCTCTTTTTCTCTGTAAATCCAACTTGTCAATAAAAATAAATACATCTTTTTTTTTTTAATTTGTTGGGACCGCAACTAATTTCTAGTTCTAATACATAAACAAAATTTGAAAAACACTTTTCCATTTCAATTTTCCTAATCTGGTTCAAAAATACCTTAAAAACTATAAAAAGCAAGTTTCCTGAGGACCAAATTTTCTAATAAATAGATGTTAAAACCAAATCCCAAAAACAGGACGAAAACGTGTTGGTGGTTTATGTAAGAAAACAAAGCCTCCCACGTCCATGCGCTTCTGTGTAATAACTCTTCCATCGCAAGACTTCCGCTCCTGAAAAGTGAATACACAGACTCAAAGCCTTCACCTCCGCGGAGCTAAACGGTGAGCCTTCTTCACCTGCAAACCCCACAGAGGCCTGCGTCGTGACCACTTCAGAGGCCACGGCAGATCTGACAGTGACTGCATCTATCGAGATTTTACCAAGTGCAGCCTGGCTGATGAGAAAAGAATGCTGTCGTTCCTTTCCCCACACCTTCAAACCCTGTAACGGTGGGGAGGGTTATATATAACCACGGACTTGCAGCACCAGTCCCATTCAATTAATAACGAATGTCCCTGTGTATACAGGCACATTCCAGGCTCTACGAATAAACACAGTAAACAAGAGACAAACTCTAACTACTGGCGTGGAAGAGAAGTAGATGTGCAATGTCTGGGTATCCTTACTTGCCTTTCCTATATTTATTGCACATTCAGATAAAAACCTAGGGCCCATATTTCCAACATATAAATCCTGCTGCTGAGCCAAAAGGGCTACAGATTCTTATCTTCCTGCAGTATGTCCATATAAGTATTTTATTGCTTTTTCTTTTTAACTTAGATCAGAGATTTCAAAGTATCTTTTTCACAATAGAAACAGTACACATATTCATACACTGCTAAGGCGTTACAGAAGAGGGCAACAGAACGTGCCTGGAAAGGAAAAAGGGAAAGAAGCAGGAGCAGGGAAGAAGGCAAGCCAAGGACAAGGTCAAATGACGTACAACATCCCAATGGGCTTTGCATTTACCTGCAGAACTTTCTCTAGCCTGCCTTTCTCTTTCAGAAGCAAATCATGTTCCCGATGGCAATTTTGAATTATATTGTCCCTTTCTTCCAAGTCATGTTCAAATCTTCTGCATTCTTCTTTCCATTTCTCCTGGGAAGTCTGAAATTCCTTCTCAATCTCGTTTGCTTTTCCTTGAAGTTCGCAATTCTGAGCTATTAAGATGTAATAATAAGGTATATTTACAAGCATGGATTAACTCGGCAGAGATCCAAAAACCTAGGCACTGGTCCTGGTTTCGTTTCTAACACGTAGGACAAAGCCCTTTCACTCCAGTAAATGTTTGAAAAGCTTAGTACTCATGAACAGCATTCCAAACTTTGTCTATGGCCCTTCCTCTCAGATGATTTGACCATGAGATAGTGCGGCATCTTAATGAACATCTGGTCCAAGAGCAGGTGTGTCTCTAGCACTCTACTGCGTCTTAACTCTTACCCAAGACAATCAGGCAGACTGCATCCCTTGCCAGGTGCTAGCTTATAGCTGCAGATGCCCTGCTTCCAATGCAGTGTTTTCCTAGCATGCATGCACCCTGGGAGGCAGCAGGTGACAGTTCAAGTATGAATCGCTGGCACCACACGGGAGACCCAAACTGAGCTGCCAGCTCCTGATTCTAGCCTGGCCCAGCCACAGCTCTTACAGGCATTTGGGGTGTGACATGCCAGCACATGGAAGAGGTGATTCTCTCAAAAATAAAATTAGGGATGTAGGAAGGAGACTGTGACATAAAGCGTTTCTTTTTTAAAGGATTCATTAGATTACAAAATTTTAAAATCTGATTATTGGCAACAAACTGGTGGTGACACGCTTAACACTTACACTATCCAAAAACTAAGGCTGGGAACCATTGTTTCAGCCTTAGAAACGTTAACTTTTTAGGTGCTACTTACCTTTCCCTCATGAATCCAACAGTAACTGTTAACACACTACTGCACTGCTGTTTCACTACGTAGAAAAGAGATAAGTACTGTCTCTGGCACCTGCCACCCATAGGACTCTCTCACCCACAAGAACAAAAAACTTTCTGGTGAATCAGGTGTGAAAAGCCCGTGAGGAAATACATACAAACTTATTTGTTAAACAAAACAACAAGCCAGCTGCATCCACAGTATTATTTTTAAGTTATATTTATTGATGTTTTTAACAGATCATGCATCCAAAAAATTTAAAATTCAAATGTATAAAAGGTACAAAATAGGGCCTAGTGGCTAAAGTCCTCACCTTGAATGCACAAAGATCCCAAGTTCGTGTCCCAGATGGCCCCACTTCCCTTCCAGCTCACTGCCTGTGGCCTGAGAAAGCAACTGAGGATGCCCCAAAGCCTAGAGGCCCTGCACCTGTGTGGGAGACCCAGAAGAAACTCCTGGCTCCTGGCTTCCAACTGGCTTAGTTCCAGCCACTGTGGTCACTTGGGGAGTGAACCAGCAGATGAGGATCTTTCTGTGTCTCCTCTCTGTGCATCTGACTTTTCAATAAAAATAAATAAATCTTTTTTTAAAAGGCCAATTTTTATTGTTTTTCTCTTTGCTCATTTGTTCAAGAGGATTTGTTCAGCAAAGGAAACTGTCCAATCATTTCTCGGCCTTTTGGCTAAGATCAAGTGTAGAAACAGTCCTCTGCTATGGTCTCAATAATTTTTTAATTAATTTATTATTTTTACTGGAAAGGCAGATTTACAGACAGAAGGAGAGACAGAGAATAGATCTTCCATCTGCTGGTTTACTATCCAAATGGCACAAAGCCAGGAGCTTCTTCAGGTCTCCCACACAGGTGCAGGGTCCCAAGGCTTTGGGCCGTCCTCCACTGCTCTCCCAGGCCACAGGCAGGGAGCTGGATGGGAAGTGCAGCAGCAGGATCACCAACTGGCGCCCATGAGTGCCTGGAGGTGGAGGATTAGCCAGTTAAGCCAACACACCAGACCCTCAAGGACATTTTGTTTCTTGATACTTTGTAACTGATCTAATTTTATTTTATTTCATGTTTTGAAGCTTTAGGACCTTCTTTTGTCTTCATTCTTCTGAAATTTCGTACTGCTATGCTTTCAGGTGGGTCTGTGTATTTCTATAAAGATGAGGATTCATTGAGCCCTTTGAATCTGGCTACTCCTATTCCTCAGTCCTAAACCATCAGCTGGAGTACCAAGGAGGAGCTGTCCCATCCTCCCTCCTATCCTTTTCTTTCACTGTTCTCTATTATTTAGACTGGTCCTCAAATTCCCTTTTTATTTTTGTTTTTGTTTTCCTTTGTTTGCATCTCTCGCCTTTTAAATTTTATCTCTGGTGGGGTGTTTTTTTTTTTTCTATCTTCAGCTTTGATGCTTCTGTGGGCAGTTTTCATTTTGGCTTTCATGTTTTAATTTCTTTTTTGTTGTTTTTTGTTTGTTTCCATTTTAATAACATTTTATAGAGCTCATAAAACAGTGCTTGTATAAAAATTCATACAAAGTTGCTAGAAGTATACAATTTCCAAAAAAATATCCTGGGTTGTTTGTTACATTCAGTTTTCTAAGGATGCACTCAACTCAATGGTGAAATGCAGACGTTAATGTGGTATTTCATTATCTTTGGTAAAACTATTCTCATGGTTTTGTCTCCTCACAGCAGTAACTCTGATATCCACTTTGTGCAGGATGTGCTAGCACTAGGGTGTCAGGAGAAGATTAAGGCTGGAGCTACAAGAGGCAGTGATTTTCCAGAAGCAGGAGCAGCCCGCCCGAGGCCCCACAGCAATGTCCATATTACACAGCTGGGCAGAAGGACAGCAATGTGGCCCCCCACTCAGGAGTTTCGAGGTCCCCTCTCCGCTGGGCGAGAAGCAAACCTGGGAGCAGGAACAGGAAGGGAGTGTGGGGAGAAGGAGGTGGGAATGAAGGCCATCGCAACAGGACCCACATGGCTGTGCTGTGAGGAAGTCAGGGCAGCAGAGAGGGTTCCCCCACAGCACGGAGCCTATCAGCTGCCATGTTTTAATCTCTAAGAGTTTTCTTTCTTACAGCCTTCATAGGCAGAATATATTCTCTTTCAGCTCTGAGGATATTGCTGTTATTTATCTACTAAAAGTTTCTCCCTGCAGAATTTCTATTTCGTCCAAGTTCACTTTTCAATTTTAGACTTGCCCAAAGATCCAGTAATTTTTCGTGGTCTCCTTGCAACTAAGTGTGAGGAACTGCAACTGTAGTACATTTTATACTCCTAGGCTAATAAACCCATCACCTAGATTCTGCCCTTCAAAGTGATGTTGACAACCTGTGGTCTGCACCTGCAGGTGGGTCTTACTACATCATTTACTGAAAACATGAGTAGCATTAGTTTTTCCTATTACCTTGGTTAGGTGACACACAGAAACATCCTCCAAATCTGTCCAAGTAATACAGAAATCTGGAAATCAGTAGAAAAAGAAAACCAAAAGAAAGTATGCCTTTTACTATTCAGCACTGAATATGCTATCTTCCTGTGTCTGGCAGCCTGTACTTCATCATCTCCTGAGATCAAACTTTTTGACTTCCACTAAGAAATAGGAAAAACCTCAGAATAGTGTGCTCTGAGAAAGGAGATCCAAGGACCCAACTGTCTCTCAGCCAGCTTTCATCCAACCCTTCTTACTGACATTCTTACAAACCCCTACTGACATTCCCATTTCCAGTTCCAAAGGCGTCTGGTAATTCCACTGCAAGAGTCCCCCGACTATCTAAAAAGTCCCCTGCAAGATCTTCTACCCTTCACTTGGGATTCTGATGGTTCAGGTATACTCAGTCAGTTACTTCTCACCCATGGGCTTTCTGACATCCAAAATTTTTTCTTCTCACACAGCATATTTTCTCATTATAGGATTATCTGCCAAAGTGTTTCATAACTTCATTGTTCCATTTAATGCAGAGATTTTGAAAAATACAGAAATTAAAAGTATTTCATGTTGAATACTGAAGTTTCTTCAAAAAATTCATGGAAAGCGGAATTAAAATATGTTGACTTGGGTGCAACAGTATCTGGAAAACCATGCAGTTTTCTCATGATGCGTATTCTCCCTCAACTTTTCATATATCTAATAAAACTCTATAATGCCTATATTTTACTATATTAACTATTTTTTATTGTTAATATACTACATTAATTCTAACATCCATCTACCCATGCATCTATTCCTTTATTCATCAATCAATTGATTATATTTCTTTATTCACTTCAAAACAGAATGCAAACAACTCAGCACATATGTCCAGAATCCAAGCAGGAGAGGAATGCTGTTGAACAAGCGGCACTCGCAAGTCTCCTCCCCTCAATCATACCCCTTCAGCCCAGCCTTGCTTCTCTATAACTCTCCACTTATTTTCTTGGCATGATGGAATTACAACTCCTTATGAAGAGTGTGCCATTATGGGAAAAATCAATTGGGAGGTGGAATATGGAGGCAGGGGAGGTGGTTGGAATCCCAAACTATACAGAACTGTATGATAAATTTCAAGATTTAAAAAAAATATATATATAGGGCCCGGCAGCATGGCCTAGCGGCTAAAGTCCTCACCTTGAATGCACTGGGATCCCATATGGGCGCTGGTTCTAATCCCAGCAGCTCCACTTCCCATCCAGCTCCCTGCTTGTGGCCTGGGAAAGCAGTTGAGGATGGCCCAAAGCTTTGGGACCCTGCACCGTGTGTGGGATACACAGAAGTTCCTGGATCCTGGCTTTGGATCAGCATAGCATCGGCCTTTGTGCTCACTTGGGGAGTAAATCATTGGACGGAAGATCTTCCTCTCTGTCTCTCCTCCTCTTTGTATATCCACCTTCCCAATAAATAAATAGGATAGTTTACAGGAGTAAATTAGAGGGCATATCTGGATCAGGCCAAGCCACTAGCACATGTGGGAGACCTGGGTTATGCTAAGTAGCATTGCCCGCCACCGAGCAGCACACATGAAAGCTGAGGATCGGGGACATGCATGGCAGGCCTAGACTGCAGTGCCCACCTCTGAGTGTTAGGGTAGAGGACAGGCCACAACAGGCTGGGCTACAGCACTCACCAGAATGAGAGAATCAGATCTGGGGACAGATTATGTATACGGATTTGTAGGATCACCTCTGTGGGACTGCAGCATCTACTGATTTAAGCAAGAGTTGCGGGTGGTGACAGGCTGAGCCAGGCTGGAACAAAGAATTCACCTGACATACAAAAGCCAGGGCTAGGAGAAAGCCAGGCTGGGTTACATTGCAGCACCTGCCAGTGCACATGAAAACCTGGTCTGGTGGGCCAGGTTGAGCAAGGGTGTAGCACACACTGGCAAGAGCCAGAATGGGTGCAACCCAGTCGAGTCAGGCCACAGTAGCCACCACTCAATGCCAGGACTGGAGGCAGGCTATGTCAAGCTGGACAACAGAACCAGCCAACACAAATGAGATCCGGGGCTAGGAATGGGCCTGGTAGGAGAACTTGGGATACTCCCCTACTATGCCAGGCTGGGATGCAGCATCCATTGGCATACCTGTGAGCCAGATCTGGGGTCAGGCTGGGCAAAGGTTGGCACAAACAAGAGCCAGGACAAGGTGCAAGCTAGGCTAGGTTAGGGCATAGCACCCACCAGTTCACATGAGGGCCAAATCTGAAGGTCAGCCACACTGAGCCAGGCTGTAGCACCTTCTGGTGAATGCTGAGACTGGGAGCAGGCCACGCCAGACTGGGCCACAGCACCCACTGGCATGTGCAAGACCCATGGCTGGGAGTGGGCCTGGCAGGGGAACTCTGAGGATTCCCTTACTAGGCTGCTGCTTTCACTCATAAGCATGAGAGCTGGTCATGCTAGGCTAGGTTGCTACACCCACTGGCACATGAAAGAGACAAAATGGGTGAGGGCCACCCAGACTAGGCCACAGCACCTGCTGGTCAAATGCCGGCATTGTGTAAGAGTCATGTCAGAATGGACCACAGTACCCTCTAACAAGTACAAGATCCTGGGCTGGGTGCAGGCCCAGCAGGAGAGACATGGGCACTTTCCTGCCAGGCTGCAGCTCCCACTGGTGAGCATGAAACCCAGGGCTGGGGGTGGGCCAGGCTAGAAAATGCAGCAACACCCACTGGCATATGTATAAGCTGAGTATGGGGTTAGATAAACTGAACTGATTTGTTGCACCAATGGGTATGCACAAGAGCTCGATAGAATACAAGATAGGACAGGCACATGCAAAAAACCAGGACTGAGAGTAAGCCTGATGGGGGTTACTGGGAATCGTCCCAACTAAGCTATAGCATACACTGGTGTGTATGAGGACCAGACCTGTGGCAGGCTGGGCTGGGCTGGGCTGGGCTGGGCTGGGCTGGGCTGGTCCATAGCATCCATCAGATCAAGTGAGAGATGAGGCTGGGTCAGAACTAACCAGGCACCTGCCATGCGTGCACTGGCTAGCGCAGGTGACAGGCCAAACCTGACCCTACACTGGCTAGCACATACAAAAGTCAGCCTGAGGTCACCCCAGGAAAGGTTTCTTAGGGGACTCCCCAGCTAGATTGCTGGAGAAGCAGACTAACAGATGGAAGATCTCTCTCACTTTCTCTCACTCTCTTCATTCTGCCTTTAAAATAAATATAGCTTTTTTTAAAAAAAAAATACTCATCACAACGTTATTCTTAATAATCAAGAACTACACACTAAACAAATGCCCAAAAATAGCAACTGGATAAACATAAGCATGGCACATTTATACAATATAACATTAAACATCAATATGCAGCCTATACAGCCATGTAGACAAATCCGACAAACACAATTTGGAAGGAAAGAAGCCAAATATAAAAAATACATGACTTATTTGTTTAAGTCACAAGAAAGACAAAATTAATCATGCTATTAAAAACTGGGATAGTAGTTACACAGAAGGAAGGATCTGGGGTAATTTTCTTTTTTAATTTTTTAAAAATAATTTTTTGATGTTGTTTATTTAGTTGACAAGGATGCATACCCATGAGAACTACTAATTTGAGGTAGGGAGGGTCAAGGCATGGGGGAAGGTGAGTAGGACAAACGCTTCCAAGTATCCTTTTCTTCTCTTTTGTCCTGTAAGGGGAGAGCAGTGGAGGCAGTGAAGGGGGAAGAGAGATGAGGAGGGGACCACTCACAGCTGGCAAACTACATTAATATCCAGGGACATGGATGTCCACTTGATATCATCTTAGAAATCCCAACATGGAGAGGAATGTTCCAAGGGTATTACTCAAGTGACTTTGATAGTTATAAAAGCTGCTGGCTTCATTGCTCCAAGGTTGAGAAAATCCTTCCAAGGTCCATCAGCTGACAGAGTCCAGCTCTGTGCAACCACTCACCCAGACACCTGCTGTCCAAACTCAGCCAACTGAGTTGTCCAACTGTTCTGTGCTCCCTATTCTTACATGGCACTTGATATCCTCTGCAGGTGTAAATAAGCTGGCTATCCTGTCCCCCAGTGCAGCTCAGCATGCTGTTCAATGCACAGGCACCAGCAATGAAAGAGGCCCAATCCTGTCACTTGCATGTGATTCAAGGTTGGGCCACAAATCCTATGACCCTCCCTCCGTGGCTGGATTCCAGTGGTCCAATTGGGGAGTCCCCAAAGAAACCTCACCTGGCATGACTCCAGACCTAACTGTTGCATGAGTCCAGTTCAGTCTGTCACCCACATCAGCCTACACACACTGATGATTGTAGTTGCCTGGTCAGTTCTATCCTGAGCTCCATGTCCTATGTAAACCTAGGGGTGTGGTCAATCCCAACCCAGACTGCCACAGACCTGGCCCTTATATACAACAATGAGACCTGCAGCCTAGTTGTGGCAACCCCCAGTGACACACACCAGGCCCACTCCTAGCCCTGGTTCCTGCATGTGCCAGTATGTACAGCAGACTAGTTCAGTTCATGCAGTATCCCAATTAGGATCTTGTATACACCTGTGGGTGTGGCAGCTTAGCTTAGCCCACTCACTCCATGACCCAGTCCACATGCATACCAATGGGTGCCACAGCCTTGTCCAGCCTGGTCCATCCCCAGCCCTGGCTCTCATGCCCACCAAAGGGCAGTGGCAGCCCAGCAGAGAAGTGCCGACAATTTTCTACTAGTCCCATTTCTACTTCCAGATCTTGCACTTTCCAGGAGGTTCTGCAATCCAGTCTAACAACTTGTACCCTGTCCTGGCACTTGTCAGTGGATCCTGCAGCAAAATCTGGCCAGTCAGCACCTATTCTGGCTCTAGTATGTACCAGAGGATACATCACCCTGGGTTAGCCCTGCTCTCCCCAAACCCAGTTCATAGGAAGGGCAACAGTTGCAGCAGCCCTGGGCCCAGCGCCGTGGCCTAACAGCTAGTCCTTGCCTTGAACATGCTGGGATCCCATATGGGCACCGGTTCTAATCCTGGCAGCTCCACTTCCCATCCAGCTCCCTGCTTGTGGCCTGGGAAAGCAATCGAGGACGGCCCAAAGCCTTGGGACCCTGCACCCACGTGGGAGACCTGGAAGAACTTCCTGGATCCTGCCTTCAGATTGGTGCAGCACTGGCCGATGTGGTCACTTGGGGAGTGAATCATCGGACGGAAGATCTTCCTCTCTGTCTCTCCTCCTCTTTGTATATCTGACTTTTTAATGGAAATACAATAAATCTTAAAAAAAAAAAAAAAAACCAGTTGCAGCAGCCCTGACCAGCCCAGTCCACTCTCATTCCCAGCTTCTATGTTCACCAGTGGGAGCAGCCGCCCAGTAGGGGAGCTCCCACACCCTCCCAACCTGGTTCACTCCCAGCCAGGAGTATTGCATGTGCTGGTGGGTGCCCAGCCTGACATGGCCTGCCTTGCCTTGGAATTTACTAGTAGATGCTACAGTCTGGCTCTACCTGATCTGTCCCAGTTCCAGCTCATTCTAGGGGATGCTGCAGCCTAGCCCAGCCTGGCCAGCCCTCATTCCTGACCCTAATGTGAACTGTCAGGCGTTGCATCCCAAACTGTGCTGGCCTGCATTCAGTCCTGACTCTTGCACCTGCCAGCAGGTATTATAGACTAGTCTAGCCCAACCTGACCAGCATGTATGCCAATGGGTGCTATAGCTTGGCCTAGCTTGGACTACCTGAGCTACATCTTAACAGGGGAGTTTCCAAGTTCTCCTATCAGACTAGCTCTCAGTTGTAGATCTAATGCACACTGGTGGGTGTTTGGCTCAGCCTGACATGGCCCACCTCCACCCCATTCACTGGCAGGCACTGCAGCCTCAACAAACCAGCCTATAGCTGTTCCAGCTCTCACTGGTGAGTGCTATGGCCCAGTCCTGCCTGGATCACCCCCAGACCTGGCTCTCATGTGGATTAGTGGGTGATGCTACCTAGCCCAGCTCTTCCCATATCCACTCTGGCTGTCACAGTGCCAATGGGTATTAGAGTCTAATCCTATCTAGGACACCCCCAAACCTAGCCCACACATGTTACAGCCATGTCTGGCCCAGTCCACTCACATTCCCAGCTCTCACGCTCACCACTGGGAACTGCAACCCAGCAGAAATGTCCCCATAGCTCCACTACCAAGCCGACTGCCAGCTACAGATCTTGCATATGCTGGTGGTTGTTTCAATGCAACCTTGCATAGCCTAACTCCCACGTTGGTCCTTGCTGCAGCCTAGCCTGGCCTGGCTGGCTCTCAGTCCCAACTATCACTGGTGCATGCTATAGCCTAGCCCTGCCCCACCTACCCTCATCTCTGGCATTCATACAAACTGGTATGCGTGACACCCTAGCCCGACATGGCTCACACTCCATCCTGGCTCCTGTACATTCCAGTATGCTACAGTTTGGCCCAATCCTGCCCAGTCCATCCTCCCTCAACCTGAGCCAGCCCACTCACCTGCCAACAGGTAGAGCAGTCCTGTCCAGCCTGGTCCACACCCAACCCTGACTAACATGCTTGCCAGCAGGAGCTACAGTTTATCAGGGGAGTTCCCCAAGTTCCCCCACCAGGTCCACTCCCAGACATGTGACAGTAGGTGCTAGGACTTTACCCAGCGTAGTCCACCCCCAGTCATGGCCTTTGTGTGTGCTGACAGATGTTGATGCCTGCCCTGGCCCACACCCAATTCTTGGGTGTGCCTGCAGATGCTACAGCCTGGACCAGCCCAGCTTGCTGCCAACCCTGGTTCCTTTGAGTGTCAGTGAGTTCTGTGGTCATGCCTAGCCTGGCCTGTCACCACTTCCAGCTCTCAAGCAAACCAGTGGGTATTGCAGTCCTATAGGAATAAGCCCACAAATCCCCCACAGAAATTGCTCCCACACTCGGTTCTCTCATATGCCAGTTAGTGTCATGAGCCAGCCTAACATGGCCCATCTTCGCTCTGACACTCACTTGTGGGTACTATGGACTAGCCTCCCAGACAGGCTCCTCAGCCCTAGTTTTTGTGTTCACTGGTGGGCAGTGGTCTATGCTAACTAGCCCAGCTCAGGGAACATTGGTCTGACCCAGAAAGTTCCTCTGGTTTCCTTCCTCTAAACCACCTGGTCTCAGTCCCCTCATTTACCTGAAAGTTCAGTGACCTAGTTGGTCACTTAAAAAAAAAAGAAGAAAAAAAGAAAAGAAGAAGCAACTATGCTGCCATATTGGTATGGTTAACACAAATTTGGCACTAACCAGGCCCAGAATTCCCACCAATTCCTGGCTACTTTTCTCTCAGCAGTGTAACACTTGCCAAGGCACAACGCAACCTGGGCAGTTGCCTATAGCTGGGGAAGATTTCTGGTAATTTTCTATTCCACGATGCGATAGTTGTTAGTTACACAATTACCAACGCATATTTTTATATACTCATATATTATACAAGTGCTATAAAAGATACATTCTGAAGCTTAAATATGTTTTTTCTGTTCCAGACACGACACGCTAGTTCTTAAACCTATCAACAAAATCACTGGTAGTGTTTCCTAAACATACAGATTCTCAAAACAGAGATTCCTACATGTCGTGTGGGGTCTAGAGTACCATTGAAAATAAAAAATTCCCTTTGGGAGTCTGCTGATTATTAATGAAACAAGTGCTCTAAAAAAAAACCAACAGAATTTTTAACCCCATTTCTCTTACATACATGACATAATGCAATAATCTAGAGAAATATTCATATAATTTCAAAGACTTTACATACACCCAGCAGAGTGTGCCCATGAAGGGCCAGTCAATGAATCAAAAGGCACCTCTCCTATTCCATGGAATGCACACACAGACACAACAGTGAATTGCTACAAACAATGAAGTTATAATCCTGAAGAGTGGGAGAAACAGAGGCCGTCTTACCACAGAGCTTCTCTTGGATCCTGTGTGCCTCAGCCAGTCTTTCTTCGGCAGCCCGTCTTGCGAGCCCAGCTTCCTTCCTAGCGACAGCCAGGTCGTATTCCAGACTTTGTCGCAAGGCTTCTCCTTTTTCAACCTCGGACCGAAGCTTGGCAATCTGGCTCTCACAGCAGGCCAGCTAAAAACAGATTCCTGATGTCATGAACCAAGATTAAATCATGTCTTCAAGATCAGGAAATCCTACAAACAAGAACTTCTGAGCGAAAGTTATTTCCATAATAGTTACGAGAGTGTACATTTACATTTTTGGAAATACTTAAAAAGAAGCACTACCTTAAAAAGAAGCACTACCTTACTCACCAAATAATATTCATTACATTTCTGTTTAGAGACTTCACTAGGGAAAAAATGAAAAATTCTTATATTAACTTCCTATAAAAACAGTGAAATTTCAGTTTAAATCAGAAACAGTCACATATTACAAGATAAACACGACACATCTCTCCTCTTCCGCTTATACTCCCTCAGTGAAATCATCAAGTACATTTTCCGAAGTACATTTTGGTAAAATCCCTACATTATTTCTCTTATTTTATGATACCAATAATAGTGCACAAAGTAACAAAAATGCCAATTTTCCAACTATTTTAATGAACTAATGCCTAATTTGTGGCCTTCCATGAGGTAGTATGATAGTTTACAAATCACAGAATTAGATTCAGACGAGTTCTAAGCTCCTTCTCCACCCTGAAGTCAGATGATCTGACCAATGTCTCACTGACTACATGTTACCTACAGTGAATGACACCAAACAATTATGTGGCCCCAATCTTTAAAAAATGAATGCAATGAAACGCATGTAAGTTTCATAAAAGAGGTTAAAATAAAAGGTTTTATTTCAAATAAAAGAAAATGTATTTGTAGTCATAGATGGTAGAAGACAGAATTCTAGGAATACATCACGTAAGAAAGGGCTGAGGCACGACCTCAGGCTAGAAATACATGGTCTCGAGTCCCAGGACCATGACACAACAGGCTAGGCTTCCTTCCACCTGCAGCGTATCCATTCCATATGAGCACTGGTTCATGTCCCAGCTGCTCCACTTCTGATCTAGCTTCCTACTAGTGGCCTGGAAAAGCAGCAGAAAATGGCCCAAGTTTGGGCTCCTGTACCCTCATGGAAGACTAAGAAGAAGCTCCTGGCTCCCAGCTCCAGACCAGTCCAGCTCTGATCATAGCAGTAATTCGGGGAGCTAACCAAGCCCATAAAAGAGAACTTTCTCTGTCTCTCACTCTCTCTTTCTGTAATTATCACTTTCAAATAGAAATAAAGCAAGCTGACACAAAATTAATAATAATTTACAAACATGTTAATAAAAAAATCACAAAACCTCCTTCATTATAATTTCAAACATTCCATTGTTTGTTTCAGATTCATTCCATCCCTCCATATCCTTGCCTGCTCCTCATTAAGAATTTAGTCGGGGCCATGAAGCAGTAGTGTAAGTGGCTAAAGTCCTCGCCTTGCACATGCCAGGATCCCATATGGGCACCTGCGTGTCCCAGTGACCCCAATTCCCATCCAGCTCCCTGCTTATGGCGTGGGAAAGCAGTCAAGGATGGCCCAAAGTCTTGGGATACTGCACCTGCATGGGAGACCTGGAAGAAGCTCCTGGCTCCTGATCAGGTCAGCTCTGGCTATTTTAGTCACTTGGGGAATAAATCATCGGATGGAAGATCTTCCTCTCTGTTTATCCTCCCCTCTGTGTATCTGACTTTCAAAAAAAATTAATCTTTAAAAAACATTTAGTTGGGTCCAGCATTGTCGTGCAAAGGGTTAAATCACCACTTGTGACACTGGTATCCTGTATCAGAATGTGGCTTAGAGTCCTGGCTGTTCGGCCTCTGATCCAGCCTCCTGTTAATGTACAGGAGAAGGAAGGACATGGTTGTTCCAAGTGCCTGGGCCTCTGTTATCCTTGAGGAAGACCACGATAAGAGTTCCGAGTGCTGGACTCAGTCCTGGCTGTTGAGGCCATTTGGGGAGTGAACTAGCAGATGGAAGATGTGTGTGTGTGTGTGTGCACATATGTGTTACTATCCCTCTCAACTGCTCTGCTTTTCAACAAATATGATAAATGTTTAAAACAAAGAAAAAAATGGGTTACCTTTGAGTATTCTCAATTGTGCCAGTTAATATCCATTTACTTTCAAATTCCCTTCCTATCCTTCTCTATCTGTGTTCTATATTATAGGAACCATATTTCCTAGGTTTCTTTAATAACAGGCTTCTCAAAAGGTTTGGCCATTGAGAGGCACTTGTGGCGTATCTAGGCCAGGAGTTGTGGAGAATCTTTGGCAGTATCCCCATCTTCTCTGCAGCTCCAAATGCTTCAGGCCAGCCAGTCTCCACCTCCAAGGCCCTGGCTTTTGCCACACAGTTCTGGATTTCATAAACTCTAGGAATGGAAGCAGTTTCCCAACACTATTACTATCTGGGTTGCCCTCACATCCCCAGTTCGTGTTTCTAGTTCTTCCAGTACCCACGTAACTTATCCTCTTTACTGATTTCCCAATACTGAAAAGTGCAGGTTCTATTTTTTGACTGGATACACAATCATAGGTGACAAAAATGGTCTCAAGAAGATTCTAACATTGTGTAAACAGTCTATTTGAGCCACAATGTAGTGAGGACAAGCTTGAAATGGAATACCCATAATACACAGCACACAAGCGGAGTCACAGTTACTTAAACCATAATGTGTAGTTACTTGCAAAGAAGTGCCAATTAAAGGCAAGCCTTTGGGAAATGAAGTAGCGACTGCACTTGCCCATTACTGCAATTTGTTTACTTTAAATCCTGAGGAGCAGGGGAAGGAAAGCTAAATCTCTCTATACTAGAGAATTTACACAAAATCATAAATCACAGAGCTTTAGATACTTAGTTCGAGACAGAAAACCAAAATTTTTATGGTGACTTTAAAAGAATCTCTTATCCCTTAGAGCACCAAGTCAGACAGGACTAAGGACCAGTCTAAAAATCTAGTTATGCAAAAGTAAGAATTAAAAACCAGAAGGAGTAAGATAGCACCACTTAGGCATTAGGTGGAAGGAAAGACACAACATGATGGCTATTGAAATCAGGCAAACTATTGTTCAGTGTTTTAGCCCAGCACGTTACAGCACCACCTGCAATGCCAGCATCCCATATGGGTGCCAGTTCAAGTTTCAGGTGCTCCACTTAGGATCAAAATCACTGCTAATGTAGCTGGGAAAACAGCAAGAGATGCCCCAAGTACTTGGACCTATGCATCCATGTGCTTTCCCAGGCCACAAGCAGGGAGCTGGATGGGAAGTAGAGGAGCCAGGATACAAACTACCACTCATATGGAATCGTGGTGCATGCAAGGAAAGGATTTACTGAGCCATCACACGGGGCCCAATAAAATTCTTTTTTAAAAATAGATTTGTGGGGGCCCGGCGCAGTGGCGCAAGTGGTTAAAGGTCCTCGCCTTGCACGCCCGGGATCCCATATGGGCGCCGGTTCTAATCCTGGCAGCCCCGCTTCCCTTCCAGCTCCCTGCCTGTGGCCTGGGAAAGCAGTCGAGGACGGCCCAACGCTTTGGGAACCTGCACCCGCGTGGGAGACCTGGAAGAGGCTCCTGGCTTCGGATTGGCATAGTATCGGCCCGTTGCGCTCACTTGGGGAGTGAATCATCGGCCGGAAGATCTTCCTCTCTGTCTCTCCTCTCTGTATATCCGCCTTTCCAATGAAAAAATAATAAAAATAAATCTTTAAAAAAAAAAATAGATTTGTGGGCCCGGCACGGTGGCGCAGTGGTTAAGGTCCTCGCCTTGCACGCCCGGGATCCCATATGGGTGCCGGTTCTAATCCCGGCAGCCCCGCTTCCCTTCCAGCTCCCTGCCTGTGGCCCGGGAAAGTAGTTGAGGACGGCCCAAAGCTTTGGGACTCTGCACCCAATTGGGAGACCCGGAAGAGGCTCCTGGCTTTGGATCGGCATAGCATCGGCCGTTGCGCTCACTTGGGGAGTGAATCATCAGACGGAAGATCTTCCTCTCTGTCTCTCCTCTCTGTATATCCGCCTTTCCATTAAAAAAATAATAAAAATAAATAAATCTTTAAAAAAAAATAGATTTGTGCCAATCACTCCTACATTAGATATATCTGATAAGGCAAATACACTCTTTATTCTTAAATCATTTCCCTCCTCTCTGCCTTGCTTTGTCATAGGTATATGTGGATATAACATGGCTTTAAAAATTATTGAATACAAGTTGTATAATCTAAATAAATAACTGAAAGATGTGAAATGACTGATAATCAAACCCTAAGTTGAACCGATTATAATTACCTATTGTGAGAGTTATCTTCCTTCCCTGAGCTAATCTCCTGTCTCTTTAACGTGAACAGACTTCACAACATTTTGATCAAATAACAGAAAAGTGAGTTCTATGACAACTGCAAAATATGTTGTGACAGAGTAGGGTAGTGATTATCATGACACTAACAGTCTCAAGTGTTGATTGGGGTTGGTGCTGTGACATTGTGAGTTAGGCTGCCACCTGCAGTGCTAGTATCCCATACAGGCAATGGTTTGAGTTCCAGCTGCTCCTATTCCAATCTATTTCAGGGACCAGAAGATGTCCCTGACAAAGCAACACAGGACAGCACCAATGCTTGGGTCCCTGCAGTCACATGAGACCTGCAAGGGAATTCTGGCTCCTGGACTCAGCTCAGCCCAGGGCTGGTTATTGAGGTCATTTGGCGAATGAACAAGTGGATCAAAGACCAGCTAACCTCCATCACTCTTCCCTTATATCTCTGCAACTCTGCTTTTAAGATGACAATAAATCTTTCAACAATGTACATTTGCTTTTAAAATATGATTTTTAGAGTTTACGAACAGCTAGCATACATGCAACAAATGTTGCTTTGTCTTCTATAAAATATGATTGCAATGTAAATAGAAGCAATTACTTCATTTATCACTTCAAAATTACCTAAAATATAAGTAAGGATATCACATATTCATTTAATTGCCAATAGCACTGCTCTTTTTATAAACTGAAAAAGTCAATTTTTACACATTGTGCAATACCTGCAACGGGCATAAGCACTGCTTTCAGCTCTCATTGAGATTCAAGAATAAAGAAATAAATGCTTTATTTCTAAAATAAAGTAACAGTAAGGCACTGCAGACAAAGGGATAACTGATTTCATTAAGGGAAACTTTATAAGGTTCTTGTCAAGAAAGCAACAGAAATTAACATGAAGGGAAGGAAAATATACCATTTACATTTAACTGTCAATGATTTATAGATGCTACTATAACACACGACTGCTTTCTTGGCCTTATTTTACTTATTTAACACAATAATCCTTCGGGAAGAGCATTTCACCATCAGAAATGAATGAGTGAAAGATAAATAACAAGCCAAGCCTCACGTAACCTGGAAATGGAGGGGCCAGGAATGAGTCAAGGTCTTTGTAAGCAAGATGTTTATCATTCTACACCAGGCTGCCTAAGATGAACTTTAAGAATAAGATTTAAAAAGAGGAGGGGGGAAAGATGAAAGAAGGTAACAGATGGCAGAAAAAGAAACATAATTCCTGAAAAATCATCCAGAGAAAAACTGCCATCCTTGGACAAGACACATCACGGCACAGTGAACAAGAGGAAACTAAGGGACATGTATTTGGCCTAGCAGACAGAATGCCAGCTGGGACACCTGCACCCCACATCACAGTGCTTGAATTTGAGCTCCAGCTCCACTCCAGATTCCTACTGTCTCACTTAAAATGTCTAAGTATAAGAATGGTATACTAACAAAGATCAAATACAGATATGAAATGAATAAAAATTTAAACTTGTAGCATTACTGAAGGAGAAAACGAAATTTACCTCTGCATTGTGCTTAGTTGTTATTTCTAATTTCTCTTTCTTGGCCCTATGGAGTTTCTTTCTCAGGTCAGCAGTAGCATCCAAATCTGTTTCATTTTTAATCATTTGCTTTACATCCAATGAGACATTCTTCAACCTACAAATGAAATAAAAATAATTTAAATATAGCATATTTCACAGCACTTCTGATACCTACTGTAACTTTTTTCAAAAAATTCAGGAAACATGGCATAGTCCTTGACATAAGAGATTATACTGTAGTAGAAGATACGGTTGCTAAACCTCCCCATTCAAATGCCAGGATCTCATTGGGCGTGTCCCAGCTACCACACTTCCCATCCAGCTCCGTTTGTGGCCTGGGAAAGCAGTGGAGGATGGCTCAAGGGTTTGGGACCATATGCCTGCGTCAGAGATCCAGAAGAAGGTCCTAATTCCTGGCTCCTGGCTTCAGATCGGCTCAGCATCAACCGTTGCAGCCATATGGGGAGTGAAACAGCGGATGGAAAATTCTACTGTCTATGTATGTAGTATATGTAATGTATATCTCATATATGTGATATATACATGTGTATAAAAAAGAATATAGAAACAAGAAAGAAATTTGAAGTCCCGGTATTCAGCAGTTTTTAATGCAATGACAGAAAAAAGACAATGATGCCTCACTTTTGCCCTTTTCAACAATTAAAAAAAAATTAACAGAAAAAAGCATATGTCCTTTCTTGCTTCAGGAAGGAAAGATTTAAAAGTATCTTCTGAAGAAATGTAGATACCATTTGTATATTACTCATAAATTAAATCCATGTTAGTCATCGTACTCAACACATTCACACATCCTTGCTGAAAAGGCAATCAGTCCTTTCCAAACCAACTGTGCACGCCATCTCCATGTTGCATCTTTAAAACACATTTTAAATGAATTCTCTTTAAAACAGACACAATACAAGCCCAAATGTCTAATTTTTAGATTCCGCAGACAGAAAAATTACTGTTACACTGCTAAAAAAAAGTTTCTAAACATTTACTTTTCATTTCTATACTTAACAGTCTGTAAGCCGCACTTAGGAAAGAATATGACCTTCTTACTTGGTCCAGTTTCTCATTATGCATTCCACCCATCAAAGATGAATAAACTGAGGGGAAGAATTTCACCCAAAGGCAAAAACCATGCTAATGAAAGATGCGCAGCAGTAATTAGAAGCCCCTCTTGGAAATAAGCTGGAAGACACCAAGTAAAGAGCTCATAACAGAAGCTCTGGATTAGACTGAGGCAATGAAGGGAAGGAAACTGGTGACAAAACAAAAGGGAACACACACCAATGTGAGTAAGCAGAAGTACAAGGGCAAAATGCAGAGCAGTACCAAAGAACAAACCAGTCTCCAGCAAGAGTCAAAGCCACAGGCTTCTGTGTCCAAGTTAACAAAGGAACAGACTATGAGCTTAGCAGCAATCCCCACTTTCTGGTCCATTGCTAACCTTGATCATTCCTGCTCCCGCAGTCACAGGCAATGTCCACTTCCCACAAGTATTCTTAAAATTAACTCCACTAACCACTTAACTCTCCCTGCTCCTTGCAAACAAAAGCAGGTTGGTTTGTTTGTTTGTTTGTACTAAAGCAAGGAAAACAGAGGATTACCTTTGAGTATCACCAGTGGGAGTGCTCGAAGTGTTCACATTCATGATGACTCTTCCAGTTCTTTCAAAATACACCACTATCACTTAGTTACATACTTCTTTATTGGTGATTAAAATTGTCCAAGGTGTCTGTGGGCCGCAGGTTAGAGGGACCAAACTCTGTTAAAAAGAGTGAAGAAAAAAAATAACAGCAGTTCTGCTTTATTTCTGAATGTGTGATTTATTTGTATTTATTTTAATGATTATATAGCAAACATGTAGTCCTAAAAAGCTATAGAGGCCAGTGTTGTGATACAGTCAATTAGGCTGCTGTTTGTGACACCAGCATCTTATATTGTAGTGCTAATTTAAGTCTAACACCCACTGCATCTGATCCAGCTTCCTGCTACTGCACCTGGGGAGGCAGTGGACAAGGACGCAAGTGGCCAACCTCACCAGAAACCGAGATGAAGCTCCCAGCCCCTGCACTTGGCCTGACTCACCTCTAGCCATTACAGCCATCTGGGGAGTGAAGCAAACATAGCAAGATCTGTCTCCCACTTCCTCTCTGTTATTCTGCCAAATAATTAAATCATTGAAGAAATAGTGATCGTGGTTTTCTTTCAAAAAGCACTGGAGCACCAGTCATTTAGCCTAGGAGTTAAGATACTAGTTAGGACACTCACACTGGAGTACCTAACACTAATTCAAGGCTCTGGCTCCTTGCTCCAGCTTTCTGCTAAAACACCCGGAGAGGCAACAGCAATCACTCACAGGACCAAGTCGCTGCCTCCCGCAGGGGAGACATGTTCCATGTTCTATCTGACCCAGCCCAGGCACTGCAGGCATGTGGGACATTGAACCAGCAGATGCAAGTGTGTGCACATGCTTACACTCCAAATCTTTCCCCCTCAAATAAAATTGTTCAGAAAGGATTAAACAATAAAAAGGAAAAACACTGAAAAGATGTTCCCTCTTGTCAAAACATGATAATGAAAGAGCAATTGCATTGCTACAATATCTCAAACAAAAACTTCACCATAATAAGATAATTAGAAAGGGTGGACATTTAGACTAACAATGAAAACACTAGCTAAGGCATCTGTGTCCTAAAGTGGAATACCTGGGTTCAATACCAGGTTCCAGCTGCTGACTTGTTTCCTTCTTGGGAGGCAGCAGTGAAGATGAAGTAACTGAGTTCGACAGCCCACATGAGACAACTGGTTTGGTTCAGCCAGGTCCACCTTGAGCTATTACAGGCACGTGAGGAGCAAATAAGTAGATCAAACTTGTTTCTATCTCTAAAAATATATAGGGTCTGGGGCAACAGCTCAGGAACTAAATCCTCGCACCTAGATCCTATACAGGTGCTGGTTCATGTCCCGGTGCTCCACTTCCCATCCAGCTCCCTGCTTGTAGCCTGGGAAAGCAGCAGAGGACAGCCCAAAGCTTTGGGACCTGCACCCACATGGAAGACCCAGAAGAAGCTCCTGGTTTCAGTTCAGCCTAGCTCCAGCCACTGCAGCCACTTGGAGAGTGAACTAGCAGGTGGAAGATCTTTCTCACTGTATCATCTTCTCTCCATAAATCTGTCTTTCCAATAAATATACAATAAGTATTTTAAAACATATATATGTATGAATTTTTTAAGATGCTCTTCGAATTTGAAAAAGAAATAGTCATGCTATCTCTGAAAGACACAAAATTCAGTTCTAAAGAAAGTAAAATCGAGGGATATTTTTAGATTCAGCAATGAGTTTTTAATTTATTTATTTTGAAAGGGACAAATAAACAGCAAGCTCCTATAACTGATTCACTCTCCAAATGGTCATAATGGCCAAGACCGGGTCAACGTAGACCTAGGGCCAAAGCTGGGACCCAGGAACCCTAATTCAGGTCTCTCCTGTAGCTGCAGGGAGCTCAATTACTGACCCATCTCAGCTGCCTCCCTACATCAAAAGGAAGCTTAAGTTAGGGAGGAGCCAAAGGCAGGTATAAAACCCACACAGTCTAACACAGGACACAGTCTTAACTTACCCACTAGGTCAAATGCCTGCCCTTCATAAATGAGATGTACATAACGCAATGTTTCAATAAAAGAGGCCAAAGTAGGAGGGGGGTGGAGGAGGATCAAAAGGTAGAATCACTCTCAACAACAGCAACAAAAAAATGCCATGGTAATAAAAAAACAAATGCTGTTCATTCATTTGAAAGGCACATTTGCCAACAGAGAGCGAGCGCGTGCACAATTCTGTCCACTGGTTCACTGCTCAGTCACATCTGGGCTGGGCCAACCCAAACCCAGGAACCAGGAACTCCATCTGGGTCTCCCACATGGGTGGTAGGGGTTCAAGCATTCAGGTCATCTCTGCTGCATTCCCCAGGCCCATAAGCAGGAAGTCAGATCAGAAGTGCAGCAGCCAGGACTAGCACCCATAGAGAATGGCATCTTCTTTTTATTTTTATTGGAAAGGCAAACATACAGAGAGGAGAGACAGAGAGGAAGCTCTTCCGTCCGATGATTCACTCCCCAAGTGAGCACAACAGCCAATGCTATGCCAATCTGAAGGCAGGAGCCTCTTCCAGGTCTCCCATGTGGGTGCAGAGTCCCAAAGCTTTGGGCCGTCCTCCACTGCTTTCCCAGGCCACAAGCAGGGAGCTGGATGGGAAGTGGGGCTGCCGGGATTAGAACCGGCGCCCATATGGGATCTTGGTAAATTCAAGGCAAGGACTTCAGCTGCTAGACCACCACACCGGGCCCCCATATTAGTTCTCAATCTGTCACTTTCTACAAATGACCAAGATGATGAAATGCCACTGTCATGATTATATCACATCATGTTAGACTCAACAGACTGCATAAGGACCTTTTGCAGGCTTGAGCAAGTTTGAAAATGTTTCTTCTTTTTTAAAAAGATTTATTTTTATTATGTTTTTATTGGAAAGGTGGATATACAAAGAGGAGAGACAGAGAGGAAGATCTTCCGTCCGATGATTCACTCCCCAAGTGAGCGCAACGGCTGATGCTATGCCAATCCGAAGCCAGGAGCCTCTTCCAGGTCTCCCACACGGGTACAGGGTCCCAAAACTTTGGGCCGTCCTCGACTGCTTTCCCGGGCCACAGGCAGGGAGCTGGAAGGGAAGCGGGGCTGCCGGGACTAGAACCGACGCCCATATGGGATCCCGGGCGTGCAAGGCGAGGACCTTAACCACTTGCACCACCGCACCAGGCCCAAGTTTGAAAATGTTTATGTAAAGTTAAAATGAGTCACACAAAGCTACCCCAACCACGGAAAAACAGGATCACATCCCAACCCTGCTATGTATACCTTTTGTCAACTCTTTGGTTATTAATTTAGGTCAGAAATTTTGTAAAAAAAGAAAGAAAGAAAAGAAAAATCTTATCTAAGGCACCTATTTACAGAAACCAACACGAAAAGGAGTATTTAACACCCTTCCCCATAAAAAATCTCAGAGAACAAACCAGTTACCAAACCGACCCAGCAGTAATCAAGGCACCTATTCAGGGGCACGCAGAGGGAAAGATGAAGCTGACAGAACCTCCAAGAGCCAACACATATTTAACACAAGCGAGTTTGAGAGCATCAGAGATGAACGTGGGAGAAACTTGCTCATTCCAAGATGAGACTCCGGAGACAGACACTTACAAGGTGGGAAACTCATGACAAGGCTGATAACAGCTGACCCATCGAGGCCCTGTGCCTGGACGCTAAAGATAGGAGAGGGAAAAGAATGAGAGAGTCAGAGACGGCCCATACCACACTGGAGGGCAGAGGAGTAAGGAACAAAATTTCACAATCTCACAAACACAGGACAGAGGGCCCCGGTGGCATGGCCTAGTGGCTAAAGTCCTCACCTTGAACGCGCCAGGATCCCATATGGGCGCCAGTTCTAATCCCAGCGGCCCCACTTCCCATCCAGCTCCCTGCTTGTAGCCTGGGAAAGCAGTGGAGGACGGCCCAAAGCCTAGGGACCCTACACCCGCATGGGAGGCCCAGAAAGAAGTTCCTGGATCCTGGCTTTGGATGGGTGCTACACCAGCCACTGCGGTCACTTGGGGAGTGAATCACTGGACAGAAGATCTTCCTCTCTGTCTCTGCTCTCTGTATATCTGACCTTCCAAATAAAAATAAAATAATAAAAACTTTAAAAATAAATAAATAAAACTTAGGACTCAGCATAATTGTGCAGCAGGTAAAACAGCTGCCTGCGATGCTGGCGTCCCCTATGGATGTCAATTGGAGTCAGCTGCTTCCTGTTCAATCTATCTCCTCCCCAATGACCTGGGAAAAGCAGCCAGCAGCCAAAAAAAAAAAAGGCCCAAGAGCTTGAGCCACCACGTGGGAGATCCAGGTGATGCTCCTGGCTTCAGCCTAGCCCAGCCCTGCCCATTACAGTCAGCCAGGGAGTCAACTAGCAGATCAGCGGAAGGTCTCTCTCCGTCTCTCCCTCTCTTTGAAATGTTAACTATGTAGACAGCATGAAAAATAATTTAAAAAAAAAACCACACTGAAGTGGGGTCTGTATTTTGGCATAGCACGTTAATCCACCACCTACAACATGGGCATCACACATGGGCACAGGCTCAAGTTTTGGCTGCTCCTAAGTTAGTATATGCGGCCTAACTCAGTGAGGGGATATTCATGCCCTTTGACACAGCAGGGAAGGTGTAATAAATCTCTTCCCTTTAGTCTTTAGCACCTAGGTTTGAGAGCAGCACTGAATCCGCAGCTCCTGATTTCCACCTGGCCCAGCCCAGCCTTTGCATGCACGCTGAAACTGAACAGTTGGTCTCCGTCAAACTAAAATACCTCTACTAATAATAAAGTGTAATCCTTTCCATAACCCTAAATGACTCCAGGACACATTCACAAATGCAAAAACGGGCTTCAAGACATTAGGTAACCTATGTAAAGACACTGAGCCAGCACCTAACAGGCTGACTCCAAAATCCATCCTATTTTCCCAAGTACTACCATCTTCATAGTAATGGCGCAGGTGTTGGGAATCCACCAATAATCACCTTCCATGGGGAATGTTCCATTTTCTCATCACAACAAGATCAATACTAAAGGGCTCGAAAAGTCAAAGACTTGTAGAAATAAATGAAGTTTTACCAAGCAAGCCAACTCTTACCTGACAGATAAGAGGCCTGAGCCTTAAGAGGCTAGGTGGTTCGTCTGAGGTCTAAACACAATCAGCCTTTCCCAACTCCTAGCAAGTTTGTTTTCCTCTGCAACTTCTTGGAAACCTGTGCTCACTTCCTGCTCACCACAGCGTCACTGCCCTGTTCAGTGACAAAACGGTAGGTTTTTTGTGCCAAAATCATGCCAATAAAACCCTCATGGAGAACACAACAGAGTCAGGTACCAAGACCTTCTAATAAGCAGACGTTATTCTGTTTACACAAAAAGGAATATGTATCTCGCCAGTGTTAATTTTCATCAGAATAAACTTTCAAAAGGAGGCGCCACTTGTGCGGAAAATTCACAGCTCTGGAAAATCAGCTGACCATCCCGCGTCTGTCAGAGTCCTCAGCAGAAGCTGCACAACTGACTCTTTTGTTACCAAGCATTTTAGGGTGCCTAGCATTAAAAAATAAATAAATAAATAAGAGGAAAATGTTGTCTCTGGCCTCGAGGAATTTAGTAATTTTAGAGAGGGGGTTGCAAAAAACAAAAACAAAAAAACCTCAGACTGACAACCCAAGAAAGTCCTAAGTCGGTGCGCTCTTGTCCCTCCCTTGGTGTACCGGGGCTGCAGCTCAGCCTAGGATGCTGCACGGAGACCTTGCTCCGACGCACGCCAACACTCAGCAGCTAACTGGAGGACCCCCAAGGTCCTCTCAAAATCTCCCCCTCCCCAACTCGTTACCCCCGAAGCTCCCACACGCTACGGTTACCTCAGGGGTCTCGCCTGGTCCTGAGTGCACACCCAAGCTGCCTAGAGGCAGCTTCAACCCACAGGGGCAGCAGGTCCAGGCAGCCCAAGGGAATGGGGGCAAGGGGCCGGGGGAGAAGGGGGGCGTCTCAAAGCAAAAATCGTGGTACCCGACGGAATCTAGGACCCGGGGATGGGGAACAGACAGGCAGCACCGGCGTTCGGGAGGGGACGAGCCCCGGGGAGGTGAAGTTTACAACCGCCACTTCCGGAGGCTGGGCAGAGCTTCGCAGGCGCCGCCGGCCCGCCCGCTCCCACCGGGCCCGGCCCGCCCCGTCCTCCCCGCAGCCCTCACGCCCGCAGCCCCGGGAGACGCGCTCGGGGAACGCCGGGCTGCGATTGGCGGAGCCCGGCTGCGGGGCGAGGCGGCGCAGGCGCCGTGGCGAGGGAGCGGCCGCGCGCGGCCACAGGCGGGCTGGCCCATGGTCGCCTGCTCGCCGTCGGGGGCCCCAGGTCGCAGGCGGCTGGAAGGGCACAGTTCTAGCTCTTACCTCGGTCTTCTCTACCTACGGAAGCCAGGTCCTGCAAGTTTCCGCTAAACCCTGTGCCCTCCCCGGGACTGGTACCAGGACCTGAGGGAATATTCCGTGGGATTTGCCTGCTGCCTGCAGCGGCTGTTCCCCTCTGAACCGCCCTCCGCCTGCACAAGGCTTGTGGTCCTGTCCCCCCCATTGTATCCCAACCTGGGCTAGTCACCAGGGTCGGAAGAATTGCAGTGCATGTAAATATTGCATAGCGAGGCACATGGCAGAAGTAGCCTTGGAGGTTCAATGTGTGCCCCCTTTACATACTCGGCCGCCTTCTTGTTGGTAATTTATACTTGGCTTTCTCTCAGTAGCTGCTTTACAATCTGCTGCTGCCCGGGGAAGTCGGGAAACCGAATCCTTTTGTTCCTTGACTTGGGCAAGCCTGTTCCCCCAAAGAACAATGCAAATTGGGCAGATTCTGTTTAAAGATTTTACCTCCTTGCAAAAAGGTGTTCAATACAAATAGTCCCCCCCCCCAAAAAAAAAAAAACTCCTTTGTTCTAAGCCACTCCGTCAATTGTAATCAACTTGAAACTAAGTGTGGGAGCTGTGTCTCCCTCGGAGGGCTGAACTGCCTTAAGTGCAAATATACAGTGGGATTAAGTCCGTGATTTTTGTAGCACTGAAACATCAACTGCTTTGATTTTAGTCACTTCCATTAAAAAAAGGAGGCAAGTCCTGGCTATCAAAATACTAGAGCCAGAAAGATCATTGCTGCAAAGGAAAGAGCTTGTAGAAAGGAAAACAGCCCATCAAACATTTGGATCTGAAATGGAAAAAATAATAGGCTAATAAGGTTAGTCCTTGTGATTTATAAGCTTTGGATACTATTTTTTTAATTTCCTAAAAAATATGATGTTTTTACAAAATCATGAAAGTGAATATGGTCTCGCAATAGTAAATGCCAGTTACACTGTGTAAGGAAAGGGGGGTACAGCCTGACGACTTTGCAGTCCTCTTATTATTCAGCATTTATAAGGTATTTCAGGCAAGCACAGTGGAGATCAGAAAGGGGAAGCAATCACCCCAATCCTGTGCATCAGCAGGGCTTCTAGAGACCTCGGTGTTGAGTCTGGGAAGACATTCAGAGACTCACTGAGCTAATGGGGAGCTGGAGGGAAAACCCCAAGACTACAAAAACCAGCACAAGGAACTGCGAAGTGCCAAGGCTCAGAGGGCAGGAAGAGAGGCTGAGACGGGACAGAAGATCACGGAGACCTCTTAGGGCATACCTGAAAGTTTCTCCAGCAATGAAACTAGCAGAAGTCTAATGCAGAAAACTTACCATAATGACACCGTAAGTCAAACCATTCCAACACTTGGATGTGTGGTGTGTGTGTCTTGCAGTTGCATGATCAATGTTCTGTTGCCTCATTTGCCTAACAGAAATGCGATTTTTTTTAAAGATTTATTAATTTTTGTTGGAAAGGCAGATTTACAGAGAAGGAGAGACAGAGAAAGATCTTCCGTCCACTGATTCACTCCTCAAGTGGCCATAATAGCCAGAGCTGAACAAATCTGAAGCCAGGAGCCAGGAGCTTTTTCCAGGTCTCTCTTGTGCAAGTGCAGGGTCCCAAAGCTTTGGGCCGTCCTCCACTGCTTTCCCAGGCCACAGGCAGGGAGGTGGATGGGAAGTGGAGCACCAGGACATGAACTGGCACCAAAATGGAATCCTGGCGTTTGCAAGGCAAGGATTTAGCCACTGAGCCACTGTGCCAGACCTATAAATATGATTATAAGAAAGGCTATTCTACAACCATCTTGCCTCCTGGCTTCAATACACTTGATTCCCTTCTTCTTACCAGTCCTTTCAAAGTATACTTAGAGTCATCTCCATCATTTTACCAAAGCATCTTGAAGAATCAGTGATGACTTCATGACCAAGTTGAAGCCCCATTGAGGTTCCTGGCTGGTTGATCCTCAGCTGTGTCTCCAGCACAGGCAAGAATTTGCACTCCGTGGCCTGGTCTCTGTAGCTCTGAAACTTCCACTGCTGCTCAGGGAACTGTTATTCCTTGCCCTAAACACGACATTCTCTTCATTTCTTCCCCCAATCTTCACACTGTCTACATATCCATGCTGGGTGATCTCATCAATTCCCTAGGTACCGAATATTCAATTCTTAATATCTGCCTCTGACCCCTCCTGAGCTCCACTTTTGAATATTTGAATCCCTTTTGAATTTGCCACGTTAATGTCTGACCTTACTGAATTCATTTCTAAAACGTAATTATCTTTCTCAACTTCTCCCAGGAGCCTCCCAAAGAACTCAACTACTATTTTTAAAACTTATCTCCAAGACACCCAGGCAAAAAAAAAAAAAAAAAAAACTCAGAATATCTTCTCGTCTCTCGAGCTCTCAATGCATACGTCCCAAAATGCTTTTTCTGTGAGCCTCACGTCTTTTTATGTCTGCCACTAAGCAGCTATTTTGTTTACTTCCCAGCCAGAGACTTAGCAGCACCTCCTGCAAGTCAGTCACCCGTTACTGTGCAACTTCTCGATGGTTTGAGGTTGCCAATTAACCACAAGTATGAGATCCTGATGGAGGATCAGACAATAGGAAAAAAGGTTAAAATCGGACCTCAGGGTGTGTACGTGTCTTGGGAACACTGGGGATTTTCGTGCACTCAGGGCTTTGTAAGCACCAGATGAGCCACATCCTTTTGACCCTTCTGTAACCTCCCCCAGAAGGTTCAAACCCCAGGTGCTTTGGTATCAGTTCTCAGAACTGAAAGGCTTCATCATAATTGTTCTCAGTAGCTCTGGTCCTTTGCTGCTTCCATATGCCACACAAGAAATGATCTTTCTCAAGTGTGCCTCGGATTATATTACCTTCTAGAATAATTATTCTAGCGGCTCCTCCTTGTTTACAGAATAAAACCAAAACTTTACGCCTGTCAAAGGGCCCTAATCTCCTCCCCACCTGCTTTCCCAGCTGTGCCTACTTACAAGCTAGGAAAACTTCTGCGCTCTCCACCCATTTCATATTAGCAACAGAAAACATGAAGTATTTGGGAATAAGCATAATAAAAAGCAGGCAGGCATGGACTTGTTAGAAAAATCTTAAGATATGTAAGAGATATAGCTTATTTAATATAACTGATGCAGGTAGGGGAAGGCATTGTGGCTCAGCAAGAGAAGTTCCTGTCTGGAACATCTCACATCAGAGGATCTAGGATCAAGTCCCACCTCGCTTGTCATCCAGTCTCTTACTGATGCTCCTGAGAGGCAGCAGACATGGCCGACCCACATGCACTTCCTTTCTCCTGGCTCCAATGTGGCCCAGCCTCAACTGTTGTGGACATTTGGGAAGTAAGCCAACGCACAGAAGATGCCTCTGTTTCTTCTCTCCCCCTCAAGCTGTGTCATTTTGCCTTTTGAATAAATCTTTTTGAAAAGATCAGCATTAGGCAATAGTAAAACTACAAAGACATATAGGGGGAATCAAGAGCGATCCTGACAACCTCTTAACAAGAGGTCATATGCACAGAGAAGGAGGGCACCCCAGAGTGGAGCAGGTGGACAGGAGAAGGCTTATATCCCAACCCTGAAGACTCCCGGATCCTCACCGAGGACTATCAGTACAGGCACGAAGGACCACATCCCAACAGCCAAGCAGACCATGAGGAACTGGAGTGCCTTCGGAGGCCAAGAACTCTGAGGTCATCCACCCCTGTTTGGATCCCCCACATGGGATGGAAGAAGCCCAGATCCTTCCTCGCAGGATCCAAGGTCATCGGAACAACAGCCAAGAGCCCTGAGCAGTCTGGTCCGCAAAAACAAAAGAACAATAAACTTCCTTCAGGACTAGCGAGAGGAGCTTTCTTTGGTCCTTACTTAGTTCCAACTTTGGA